CTTAACTCCTCGTTTCGCCTTGTAGGCAGACTGGAGCGGGTCCAGATTTTCACCCACAATGGTGATTAATCTCACCCACAACTACTCCCCTGCATGCATTTGCAGAGGATGGAGACCCCAGAGGATGAGTGCCACAGGCCTGAAATCACTCATGGCCTTGGCCTGTGTGTTGTTGGGAACAGGGATGATTGTTGTCTCCTTCCATGACCTGGGGACAAAGCTGGTGTTCAGGAACAGCTGGAAAAGCTGTGCCACCACACCACTCAGCTGAGCCTCGCACTCTTTCAGTATGCGGCCCTTGAGCCAGTCTGGTCCAGGACTTTTCCTTGGGTGTAGCATGGAGAGGATGTAAACGACCTTCGCTCCACCACACTGATTGGTGTAGGGGCTGGTGTTTGTCGAAGTCCATTCCTTCACAGGTTCAGTCTTTTTGAATGTGGCGTAGAAGGTGCTGAGACCCTGCCACGTTTCCATCATATTTCCCCTGGTGAACCTCCGTCAGATTTTTGGCCAGCCTGGTTTTGTGTTTCAGTCCTTTTCGAGGCTGAGATAGTGTTTTAACTCTCTGGTGACCCAGACTTAAGTGTTAATGTATATAGTCATTAGTTGCAGCCCTACTGTTATAATGAGCAATATCAGTTATAGTTTATTACAGTTTATTATAACACAGTCATCTCCTGGACAGTCAAATAAGATACACAGTGCTTGTTGTTGTTATTCACTGCATCACTCAAAAGTCTCCACAGCAACCACACTGTGAAAACGATAAAAAAAAACGACAGCCATTAGGAGTTGTCATCCCACTTACTCCCCTTTCCCCAGATGATTCGGGAAAAGCTTTTTGGCTCAAGTGTCCCAAATTAAACCCAGATAATAAAGGGCCCATCCAGCTTTATCTGACCCAGCTTTAGTAATCCTCCAAGGACTAGAGACAGTTGGGTCATTTCCTCTTCATCGTTTCTTTTACCTCGATCCCTCAGTCAGGCTGTCACACAGGGTTGACAGGGCTGTCTAGACGTTCAGACGGGTGTGAGGGTCCCTGGGTACATTAAGCTCCCTCGCTGTCACGAGACATCCATCTAACACTGTATAGGGTCTGGTTTAATTTCCATGAGTCATGTTTGCTCAGCTTTTGCTTACATGTCTTTGTGAGTGGATGTATGCTGCCTTGTTCTAAGCGAGCTGATGATGTTGTATCTTATCTAACTGTCGAAATTATGCTGAGGAGCCATTTGGCTGCAGCAAACTGTCTTTTGTTTTTCATTTCATCTTCAGTTGCTCAGCAAACCAGCCCTATCAGTTATGTGTGCAGGTTTTTGTGTGCGTGCAGTGAGGGCTGTTTCTTGTATACATTCCGCAACAATGCTCAGCAGTTTTTGCTGCTGTCATGTCCAGTTTTTCCTTAAATCCGTTAAAGTTTTGCCTCTATAAATAATACAGAGGCACTGTGTCAGGGTCGGCGGAGCTGCCTCTGAGCACCAGACTTCACAGGCCATAAAGATTTAGCACTAACCACTCTCATGCTGCAAAGTCGCCCAAAAAAAGATTTCAAGATCGAAAACCTTTTCATCACTCCGAACACCTGTCCCCAGAGAACCTTTTTTTCATGCAGCCTTTGGTTTTCTCGCCTTGGGGGTATGGAGAGGGGTGGTGAGGGCCTCCATCCTTTAGATAAGAGAGCCAGGGGTCTGTTATGTCACTCTTCTTCAGCTGAGTGAAACCTCAGACACACGATCTTAAGTGGTACCGTGTTAAAGCGTTTGGATTCATGGGTGTGAAAGACAAATACTCCTCCCTCTCTCCCAACTTTTCCCTCCTCCTCTTCTCCTCCTCGTTGTTCGACAGGCTACACAGAGTTGACAGCTATGATGGCTCCAGTCCCCGACCAGAGTGGAATTTAATGAGCACTATGAAATCACCCACCAATCTGAGAAAGAGAATGCTTTTCTTAATGTGTGCCCATTATCCATTCGCACATCTCTGAACTCGTATACGTCCGTCAACAAGGGTGCAGAGAGGAAGAAAGGGAGGTAAATGAAGACTTACTCTTAAGTGTTGCGATAAGCGATTGTGCTCTTGAGGCTGAGACTGTTGTGATTAGAGGATGACCGCAGGACTAAGTGATTGTTTTCAGTCGTCGCTCAAATAGAAAGCTCACATTTAGTTTCTTTAGTTGTTGAGCTTTTTCCCCCTGTCTGATCATTAGTGTCTTTCTCCTTGTTATCCATTTCACACACATTGCATCAGGGCAGGATTTGTGCAGCCTGGCAAGTTTAGAGTTACAGTCGTGGTGAAACGTTCGATGTGGATCTGCCAGTGATCCTTGATCAGCACAGCAAGAGGCCCGATCATCCAGCACCTGCAAAGAGAGCGGGAGTAAAACTAGAATCAGCATGAGACAGTATATAAATGACCTCTCATTCAACGCCTACATGTCCCTGACGTTTCGGGATTGATATATAATGCACCCCTCTGCCCTTTATCCTCTCCATCTCTCTGCCTCTTGTCTTTGCTCTCCTTATCCACATGTGTCTCCTCCCTGGGAAGCATCCTGCTGACACTCTCTCTCCAAGGAGTCTTATTGATATTCTTGGAGAGGCATTGCAGAGGGAGAGAGAGAGCGGAGTGAGAGTGTGAAAGTCAAACACTGTAGCAGCAGATGCACTGCTTTCTAGTACCAGCAACAGTAGAAATCACAAGTCACCCAGCAGGAATATGTCACTGTTCATTTTGTCTGCTGCATTAATAAAACCCCTCCTGCTTTGGGTTTTTATTATTCTCTAACACGTGGAAAGGCAATTTGCCAATCAGAGAGATTTTCAGTTAGGCTTTAGGGATACTGTCATGTGGAGGGATGTTGCATAAAGATTAAACTACCGTTGTTATGTGAACGGGACACTTTGCTCAAAAATAATGATTTACTTTTCACTGCGACGGTCACATATTAAGCTACATTTAGCACATCAGTCACCATCAGTGAGCATTTTACTTATTTGAGTATTTCCTTGATTCCTAAGATTTAATACAAAGGCACAAACAACAAAATTTTCAGTGCTGGTTTTGTACCGATGGAAAAACAACTCTGAAGAACATAAACATGTTTTGACTGTAGAGGTGAAAAGATTAGTTCATTAACTGATTAGTTAACTGACAGAAAATGAATCTTCCTCTACTTTGTTTATCTTTTTAAAAGCAAAACCTCCAACCACTCTTGTATCTTATCTTCTGGCAAAACATTTTTTTTTTTATTATTATAAAAGAAGAGCATGAATTGGATCAAGCATTTGATGCCAGCTTTTGGTACTTGACAGTTTTCGATACCTGGTGTGACAAACACCTGTTGGTAGCAAAAAAATATTGAGGTTCAGTACCTCCACCCTACAGGAACCTCTTATCTTTCAATCATAATACATATTCATGTTAATCTGGTGTTTTTTCCTGCCCAACTGTAGTGTCTTAGATTGCGCTTCTGGTTCCTGTTTTTTGCTTTTTTGTCTGTTAAGTGGAATCGGAAGTTATTGTGTGTGTGTGTGTGTGTGTGTGTTTCATGGTCTTGTGTATTCACTGATCTTGCAGCATCATTTTACATAATAAATTCGGAAGAAATTGCATCTAAACTGAAGGAGACTGTTTATGTGAATAAATCTTTGCCTTACGATGAACTGAAACAATTAGTTGATGAAAATCTGAAGTTTTGATAATCAGTTAATTCAGATAATTTTCAACCAAAAACACCAAACATTCTCTGGTTCCAGCTTCTCAAATGTGAGCATTTGCAGGTTTTTTACTTCGTTGTATCATTGTGAAAAAATCTTGTGGTTTTAAACTCTTTGTTGAAAAAAGCGAGCAATTTGAGGACGTCACCTTGGGCTCCAGCATTTTCTGACATTTTCTAATTAATATGAATGAAAAAAACTTAGTTGCAGCCCTTTTTCAAGATCCCTAAAATGTATGACTCTAAATTAAGATCAAATTAATTTGTTTTTAGTTCTTTTTTATAATTGTGTGAAAAAAGATTTTTGAAAATGTCATATTAAAATGTAATTTCAAGTACAGTTTCTCTCTCATCACCTTTATTCCTTCCTCCCTGCTCTGTTATTGGAGGGCAGATGTGGAAATCATATTTTTGTTGCCGGTTTACTCTCTGGTTATCCTTGGGACATCTGTGAAGGTCGGAGATAGAGTGTACAGGAAAATAGATAAATTTTATATTTCAAAGACAGAATGTACAAACCTGAAGAAGTGACCTGGAGAACACATTGAGATGCCGCTGCAGAAAAGATGTGGCATGCTGCGGACGTGCCTCATTTGATAAGAGAGATTGGGGGGGGGTGAAAGCCGACAGCTCCCGGGACCCCCACTATTTATGCGCCTCCATCGTGGGCGAAGCCTTTCACTGAGTCACCCTGTTTTGGCAGACAAACGCACTCGGAACATAGCATCATACATAAATCAAGCAACATGTGTGTGCTGAATGAGTTGGCAATGTCCTCCTGCTCACTTTCACATACACACATGCACACCTTGTTCTCCGAATGCATTCAGCAGATGAGACATCCAGATTACATTGTCTGCTTTGCGTGGTCGTGCTGTAAATGACTTCACTCCTGCAAGCGTAATGACACATTGTTCTGTAACTACCTTGTAGGCTTCAAGCCAGAGGGTTGCTGGGACTAATTTGACAGCTGCCATGGCTCGTTATCTGATAAAGGGGACAGTTCTTGGCCCTGCAGTTTAAACAGTATTAGTGTAGATGTTATTTGAAATAACCTCACACATTGCAGGCTGACAGTGTGTTATGTTTGGCCCTTTTTGCTGAGGTCCTATCTTAAGTTAACAGTTCCTCTCCGTCCTAGTTTTGTATCAACTGTAAAAAAATTTTTTTTACACGCAACAAACATGTTTTTTCAGTCATAATTTCAAAATGGAAAGGAAATATGTCTGCTCTCATTACATGCATAACCATTTAAGTTCTCTGTTTCTCTCTCATTTTGACCCAGACTTGACATGGACTCCTTCAGCACCAAGAGCTTAGCCCTGCAGGCGCAGAAGAAGCTAATGAGCAAGATGGCCACAAAGAGCATGGCCAACCTCTTCATTGACGACACCAGCAGTGAAGTGCTGGATGAGCTGTACCGCGTCACCAAGGAGTACTCCCGCAACCGCAAAGAGTCCCAGAAGATCATCAAGAACTTGATCAAGATGGTGGTGAAGCTGGGTGTGCTCTACAGGAACAACCAGTTCAACAGCGAGGAGCTGATCCTGGTGGAGAACTTCAGGTAGGCTGCAAGACCCATTTAAGGGATAATTCAACATTTTGGGAGATGCTCTAATTTGCTTTCTTTCTGAGAGTTAGATGAGAAGATCAATACCACTTGCATGTCTGCGTGTTCGGTACAGAGCAAGAGCCAGGAGTCGCTTAGCTTAGCTTAGCATAGCATAAAGACTGGAAGCAACAGCTAGCCTAGTTCTGTCCAAAGTTCAAAAATACACCTACCAACACTAAAGCTTATCTTGTTTGTTTAATCTTTACACAAACAGTAAAAATGACTCTGTGTGGTTTTAAAGGGAAGTTACATGCTAAAACTATTTCTTGATTGATAATCCGCCCAACACAACACACTTTTGGGATCACTGTGAACAAACACCTGTTGTTCACCAAGAACAGCACCTGTGTCCCTGTAAAACCACAAATTGCATGTCATATTTAGACAAAATATAAATATGAGCAACTAAGTCGGCAAAAAACATCCATGTCAGCCTCCGAGTTAAATCAAAGGTAGCATGAATTTCTGACGGCTGCGATTTGGTGAAAAGAACTACAGAAGTGCCAACAAGCCATTGGCAAAATCACCATCGCTGGCAGTTGCATGTAAATAACATCCAATAATATCACTAATTTAGGCTAATGAATGCTAGCAGTGGGGGTGTTAGTAGGCGTATTTTGGGACTTTAGACAGAGCCATGTGCTTCTTTATGCTAAGCTAGGCTAAATCACACACTCACACATACTTATCAATCTTCTTTCTCTCAGAAAGAGAGCAAATGATTGTATTTCTATGTTTAAATGAAAAGCTTTTGTCACATCCTACCATATATTTAAATATTGTTATATTGTGTATCAGAAGGTGACAAACATTGAGAAACAACAAGGAGCTGGTCCTGATTGAGAGCTTCAAGTGGGGAGAACTGCAGTTCAAGTACATTTCTGTGTGCTGATGGAAGCAAATTAAGGAAATTGACTTTTATATTTTTCACTAAAATAGAAATACTCAGCTTGGAGGCATGTGAAGCTGATGTAAGTGCACAGTATGGAGAATGGTGATTATATTAGCATGGAGATGCATTACTGCGAAGGACAATACTATAAGTGATAGGGGGGGTCTGAAACTTCTTCTAAAGAAAATCACAAGGCAGCAGATTCTATTTTTACTTCCTTCTGCTGCTCCAGTCAGAATTAGAAACTGACAGCTTCCCCCCTCTCTTCTCGTCTCACAGGAAGAAAGTCCACACTCTGGCCATGACGGCGGTCAGTTTCCACCAGATCGAGTTCACATTTGACCGCCGCGTCATGAGCGCCATTTTGAATGATTGCCGTGAACTTCTGCACCAGGCCATCAAACGCCACCTGACAGCCAAGAGCCACTCGCGAGTCAACCATGTGTTCAACCACTTTGCCGACTGTGACTTCCTGGCGGCTCTCTACGGGCCCTCTGAAGTTTATCGCGCTCACCTGCAGAGGATCTGTAACGGGGTCAACAAGATGCTCGACGAGGGGAACCTCTGACCTCTGCCGGCCTCGTCATCAGGCGCCTTTACCTCTAGTCACCCCTCATGTACCATCTTGCAGGATTTCTTCCTCCTTTATTTTTTATTTTTTTAAGGTGACAATCATGAACATTTTTATTTTCATTTGCTCTGTGTTTGTGTGTGCCTTTCAACCATTACTGTAACACTGAAATTCTCCTGGCTAGTTAGTCCAAAGTCTTTTTCTTCTCCAGCCTGACTTTTTGTTATTTTACAGTAAACAAAACCCAGCTGATGTGTTGTTTAAATGTAAAACTTCATGCTCTTAATCAGTATATCCAGCGGTTGGAGCCTTGTCAACCGTGCCTTGGAAAAAAAACTTTTTTTTATCTGCATTCCAAGGGCACCATTGCTTGCTCTCTTACTTAATCAAAAAGACATGAATCCAGGCACAAGCCTTCAGTTATATCTCTGTAAGATGCTTTTAATGGACAGAAATGGGGCTTGGGAGAGGAAAGAAAGTGAATTCCTGTCTTTTCTAAATACCCAAGGACATAGAGAAGTGATTTCTTTTGTTTGTTCGTTTTTTCTAAAAGTAGTATTGCACTCAATCCTGAACAAGCGCTGTACTGTACTTTCCTGCAGTAATGAAACCATGTGAAGTACGGCAGTTTGAGTAATCCTGTTTAGCCTGCATTTTACAGCGCACACCGACATGCACTGAAGTCCACATTGCAGAGGGGTGAGGTTTTTGTTTAGAAGGCACCCATAAACCCAGTTTTGCTTTTAATAGTCTGTTTTTATAGCCACCACAACAAAGATGAAGTATTTGGGTCATAAGGGGACCATAAACATAAAGGAATTTGATGGTACTGTGTTGTTGATTGTCTCTGCGCTGACTCGAATGTCTCCCCGGATCTACGCTCATCTGCTCAGACAAACTTCCAACTTTTTTATCTGTAAATGTCATAATCACAGCAGGGGAGTGGAACAATGTGGCACCAGGTGCAAAGGTTGCACAGTTGAACTACTTGTCATAATAGATGTTGAAGCCCAGGGTCAGATGGGTTTCAGATTTATCGGCATTGCCTCAGGTTTATCCAAAAAGCACTAAAAGTCTGGTTTGAAATTCTGACAGATCTGAACTAAAAAGACTCCCCGTGAGCAGTCAGATGAAAGGCTGGACGAAAACTGCAGTGCCGTGTCTATGAAAAGGACCAGGCAGGGTATAGAGATTAGAGCAGAGACAAATACAGTACCTGATTGTACTCTCCCCCTGCAATTATCGCTCCCCACTCTGGGGTGGTATAATGGCCTGAAGCCTGCCTCTGTCGAGCAGCCACTCCATTTCACTACACAGCAGCCTCATGTTATGTGATGGAGATAACCATCTCTGTTTGCGCAAGTCCTTTAATGGAGTGAAAGATGTTGTTGTGTTTCTTCCTTATAAAGCAGTATATGAATAGTTACTACTATCCCTCTCGAACCTCACATAATAGCCATCTTTCCTTTTTGTCTGTGTATTTTTGTATCACTGAGCCTGTCTGGGAGATTGTTTTGTGCTGCGGCCTCATTTTGTATTCTGTGTGTGTGTGTGAGTGTGTGTTTGTGTGCGTACCTGTGAGAGAATTGGAAATTGAGCCGTGTAATAAGCACTGTGCTTTTCCAGATAGAATTGCTGAAACTTTAACTTCATCCACAGCAGCTCTGCCAAAGAAAAGAAGACTGGTGTTACTCAAAATGCGGTCTTTCTCCAGAGGAATATTTTAGAAAAAACATTATGCACTTGATAGTTATAACCCTGCTTATGGTGATAATGACGACAAAGGTGGTGGCTGTTGTGGTTTCTGTCCTTTTTTTTCCTTTTTCCTTTTTTTTTAAAATTTGCCTTTCAAATTCTTAGACGACTTCCCTGAGTAGATTCTTTGTTGGATCCATTTGCCTCTGACTGCATCATTTTGGGAGGCTTTGAAGTAAATCCTTTTTCTTAAGTCCCCCAAAGCAGTTGACTTTAATTGTCTTTGGATGCCATTTTCTGCAATCCCTGCACATCTCAGGGTTAGTTTAAATCTCCCTTGATTTAAAAGCAGTGACATACTAAGTAGAAATCACCAGGAACCTCCGCAACAGCCCCGCTTGTTTTACTAAAGGCCTTTTAAATTATGATGTTGCATTGTTGTGAATTGTAAACTGTTTTTATTTTCACTCATGTACATATGATTGTTTTTGTGTCTCTGTATTGTATCCAGACACAGCAAATATAATACAATTTACTTTTTTAAAAGAATACATTTCTTGTCTTCTTCTTTTTTTCTCACTCAATCAAGCAGAGTGTCTTCCCATTAATATGTCGCATGTTGGAATTTTCTGGCCAGATCAGGGGGTGTAATCTGACTACGTCTGACCTGGATTTAGTCGGCCAAATCCCTTACTCCTGCTCTGAGAATTGTTAGGGAGAAATGAAAGCAAACACAAACCCATTTGACTGACGAACATTCAAGTGTGGGTAATTCCTCCCCCCACTTCCTGCAGGCCCACGACAGGGTCAGAGGTAGTACAGGAAGTGAGTAAGATTGAAAGACTTCTTGCTTCTGTTTTTGGAAACTTAAACATTTAACTCTGCTGCCGTTTAATTGCAAGTATAGCAAGAGTAACAGTTTGAGTTTAATCTGTCATTGACTTGGCTACTTGTCAGATTTTGGACTGATGATTTGGCCTGTAGCACGACTGCAGATCCTCCCTGCGGCACACTTGAAAGGCTACTGCAGTACCAAGTGCCCAATTATCATCTAGTGGTCATTATCTCAACAAGCCTTTTATTTTATTATTTCTTTTTTTATGACTAAAGTCACGTCTCTGTCTCTCTGTGTGTAACTTCATCCATTTCTTTATTTGAAGTAACGGTAATGTCAAATAAAGCAAAAACATCCTGACATCAACTTTAATGAGGGGGAATAGAAAGTTTTTAATTTTAGTTTTCTTATTTTTCCTCTTCCCAGCATGTGTGTGTATCGCTCAAACACTTTCTGAAAATTAAAGTTTGAAAATGACAGTCACGACACGATTATCAGTGGATGTGACTGAGGGCTCTTAATACATTTTGGTGAAGCTAGCTTCCACTGGGGCATAATTATCATTCCCACATAATGAAGTGACTACAAAGGAGCTGTCCTGCATCCTAAGAAGGGGGGAGATGAAAAGGGGACCCATTACTCTTTCCACTTGTGTTCAAGCACAGATTACTGAGTTATGGTTTGTAGTACTGACTTCCAACATGAACTAAACAAAGTTGTGCTGGAGCATCACACTTTTCTCTGGGATCAAATATGACAAAGGAATGATTCTCTTGCTCAGCTGTGCACACGTGCAGCCCTGTTAGGAAGGACAAACCGAGCCGGATTATCATGATCCATCCCTACAAGGATACAGGCGGTTGGTTTTGGCAATACACTGCGAAGACTGGATTGCTGTCAATACTTGCGCAAACACCCTGATGTTTGAGTTCTGGGTGGTGCAACAAAACAAACCACAGGGCATTGTGTTTAAACAGCAGGCAACGCTCTGCACTTGTACAACACCACACAGTCACATTTCTAGAATTTCTTTCATCATTGAAAATGCCTTTTTAGGCCTAATGAGTGAAAAAGGGACTGGGACTGCAGTCAAAAGATGAGTGGCACTAAAGAAGAAATTGACTTCGCTAGTTCAGTGATGATAGCTCTATTGTACTATTCAAACAAACCCAGCAGAGAAATGTGTATTTGTTGATTCATGCTGCAGCATAGACAAGAAACGGGTTAAAACCCTCAGCAGCAGATAACAAGTGACTTATTATGAATATAACTGAGGCTACCTAGAGTATGTAAAACTTTTTGTCACGTTTTGGTCACCACATTGTCTGCTTTTGTTGCCCATGGAAATCTGTGTGTCGAGGCCGATGTCCCAATCTAACAGCTATGTCCACACTTTCTAAATCTTATTACAGTGTGTGCAGAGCGTAAAAGAAGAAGCCCCTTTTGCACCAGGCCTTTGCTGACCTTTCAAGCACTTCCAAATTTTTCAACACCAATCTCATGTAGGTTAGCTGGCAGAGCAGAGCAGAGTGAGCGCTGCTTATTATGTATTACTTTGCTTTTGTAGTCCCTCCACATCGTTACTCATCCAGTATGCTTAAAGGTGCTCTCCCCTCTGGCAAGCACAGCTATGACAGTCAGCTTGGAAGTTAGAAGTCTTTCAAAACTCTTTTTTCCCCCCTGTCTTCCTCCCCTTTTCTCTGTCTATCTTTTACTCTTTCGTGGTGTCCCCACGTCTCTCTCTTCCTCTCTCGCTCTAGTCCTCAGAGAGCACCTGACTGACGTGTTGTTCAAGGATGAAAAGAACAGCGGAGGGGAATCCAAAAGCAAACAACACAAAAATATACATGAGACGACAGGAAAGACACTGCTGTACACACACGCGCACACAGAACTCACTGCCGAAGCCCTGAGGATTATCACCAGCGCGACACTGGACACTTCAGGGAAGACAGCATCTGCTCACTTCCATATTTAATACTGCAAAAAAGAACACTGTGTTCTTAGGAAACTTCTCATTTTCACTTTGTGTAGACAGAGAGCCAGTGGTGCAAAAAACACATAATCCTCTCCAAACTACACATGTCTGCTGTCCAGGTGGCTATAGAAGGTTCTCAAGTGCCTATTCACAATGTGACTAAAAGGAAATTTTGACAGACATGGGGCCTTTGCCTTTCAAAGCATTGCTTTAACATCTATCTTTTACACCAAGTTATGTAAGGTGTTCAGCAGTGCTTCTCTCTCTCACTCTCTCTCTCTCTCTCTCTTTTGCTCTTTCTCTGTGTCTGTCTCTGCTCGAAGAAATTCAACCAGGAAACTGTATCTGCAGTGGCAGTAAAGTTCAGCAGACACACATTCGTGCCACTGAAGTGTCCCAGCACACACGCTCTGCTGCTTCTCGATGGGCACTCGGCCTGTTACAGGACTCAAAACAGGCGAGGGAGCGCTACAGGAGGCAATGGACAAGGTTACAAGGAGGCCATATGCCCTGTCTGTCTTCCCTCCACTCCCAACTGCTCCACCGATATTGAAAGCTACATGATGGTGACAAAAATGGCGTCCTGTTTGAGAGAACACAAACAGCAAGCTAAAAAGGAGAATTTTCCCCTGCTGTAGGCACACTTTCTGTCTGCTTTTGTCCTTCAATCACTCACATATATATTATACAGCAGATTAATATAATGGATGGGCTAACTGGACTGAGGCTGGCCAGACATACAGCAACTGTGACAGCTTCTTATTATTCCACATTTACTTTAAACCAGCAATGATTATTATGCGATGTTTCTCTGCCGTGTTATGGAGCCCGCAAAGTGGGCGGCTGATTGGAGGACTTTTAAGAGACATGATTTCATGGTCTTTAATTCACCCATACACACATAAACACATTCAGGGTGATCAATCACAAATAACAGTTGCCATCTGGAAATTTCCACCTTATTGTGAGGTTGTTGAAATGTGTAGTCTTTTTCTCTTAGTCTGACTGCATTGTTTCCAAACTGTACAAAATAAAATGAATGAGCCACATTTCATCACAGTCCTGTGACACACCATGTATCTCCACAGCACTGACATTTCATAACAACCCTGTTTTTAGCTATGTTTTTTTTGTCAGTCCAGCGGGTGTATAAATGGGTTCAATGGGTATTTTTATTTTATCAACCCATATAGTAAAACTTAACATTTCAGATTATATATATTTTTTTAAATCACTAAATTTGGAGATACATGGTTTTCACTGGACAGCGATCCACATCATCTTCAACAATCAGGTTTATTAGTTTAGGTAGTTTTTATTTATCCTTTGTGTGTGTTTATATGTGTGTGCAAGTGTGTGTGTTGTCTGTCTGCATCTATGTTTTAATCTTGTTCATTATTCTCTGCAGTGATAAAATTATTACCTTTGCATGAGACTGTGCTCTTCAAATAATCTTGAACTTAAATGATTAAACATTATTTCAAAGTGAAATTCAGTTTGAAATTCTCATTATGTGAGACAATTTAAATGTTGACATGCACAGCTGCACACACACAGATGTACACTCAGAGTTTAATCTCTAAATTCAAAAGAGACCCAGCCAAGGCACAGAAGTTGACTCTGGTTGTGCGCACCAGCATGTCGTGAGGAACAATCCTATGAAGGATTAATAGTGGCTACTCTATTACATCCACTCTTTATAGTTTTTTTTAATCCAGACTAGTGATCATTACTAGCTGACAGCAGTCTGTCCACATGTAGGCAGAAATCTTCTTAACCTACAGTTTACGCCAAGCCTGTATCTGTCCCCCCCTCCACACACATACCTGTATAGCAGAATATGTCATATTTTAACAGGGCACTACCAGAGGAATAAATTGCCATGCTGACTAACAGAATGACAGATGCTTTGAGTGTCTCACTGCTGAGTGACAGCAAACTGTCAGGGCTTTTGTGTGGCTGTGCTGCCGTCTTTTCATTTCGGATGCTGCCAGAGAGGGAGGGACCCATCCATGCAGCCGCAGTTGAGTGAAAAGGCACCTAGGAGGCATCTTTGGGCTTGTCAGACACAAGAAATCTAATCCAGACAGCCAAGAATTGGAATTTGAATGAGAAACCCGAAAATAGCAGCTGTCTCCGCATAATAGGAACAAATGGAAGTTGGATATGCGGCAGAAAATAAAACAAGAAAACAAGTGGGATGTAACGGGACACTATTTGCTGACAGTTACAATAATCTGGGGAGAGTTGTGCCACAGACAGGCTATTGTTTGCAACCGGGCAGCTTATAGTTTCTGTCAAACTGGTACTGATCTCTGATCTTGTAGGTCGCAATTATGTGGCCCCCTACTTTTCCTCTCCCATCCCTTCCTGCTGCCATCCTCTCCTACTCCTTTAAACCCCCTCTGGTATCCTAAGCAGCATTTAATTGTGAAGGACTGAGCCAGGGAAAGAGTAATCAGATGAGAACAGAGGCAGGGGGAATCACGTGGGTATACATTGGCTAACGGGGGATTAATAACAGTAGTTCAGCTGCTCTCCCATGCAAATGGGAGGTAGGGATTTTGAGGGGGGGTGGCTGAAAGAAAGGGGAGGAAAAGAGAGGAAAAGAGATAGTTGTAAAGACAGAGGACAATAAGGGGTTCTCAGAGGAGAGTAACAGGGAGAAATGACAGGGATGGGGAAAGAAGAGGGAAATAGAGAAAGGGAGTAAGAGCAGTGAGAGGGAGTGGGAGGAAGAAAGCGAGGATAGGAGGCAGCGCAGCGCAGTGTGTGTGGAGGTGGGGGGCAGGAAGGGAGAGAGAGAGAGAGGGAGAGATGTAGAGACAGGAAGCCTCCACTGCTACTGAGCCAGTGAGACGCAGGCAGGCAGAGAGAGAAGACGGAGAGAGAGGGGCCCTCGGCATCTCCAAAGCCGGCCCAGTGAGGGGGTGAGGGGCTCTAGAGCACTACAATGGAGAGGATAGTGGGAGGAGAAGCAGAAACGGGGGGATAAGAAAAGGGAAAAAGGCAGGGCGATAAAATCAGAAGCAGGCTTTCGCAGAGACAGGGGAGTGGGTGGGTGGGATCTGAGAAGAGGAGGGGAAAACAGATAAAAGTTTTGAAGACCAGACGAGGAGAGGGAGAGGGAAGGGGAAAAGAGACTACAGATAGTCAGAAAGAGTCTACGTTAATGGCAAAGGTAGGTGGAGATTCATGGAAAAAGAGGAGGAAGCTCTGTGTCTCAGGAGTCCTCCTGTTCCTCTTCTGCTTCTACTTCTTTCTGTGAGGCTGCTGGACATCATCCATCACCATGTTCTCTGACAGCAGGGCTCCAGTGCCTGGGGAGCAGAAAAGCTTCAAGCCCCATGCACCTCACTTCATCCCATGGCTGCGCAATAATCTGAAGCCCCACCACAGCAGTGACCTGGGGCTCAACGGACCGTTCAAATCCAGCTCAGAGGCCCGCGACAACCTGACCCCGCTGGTGAGAGCCAAAGGCATCAGGTTGTTCTCCATCCACGGAAAGGACAGGGCGAAGAAGGGGGAGCTTCGGTGTAATGGTGTTGGGGTGGCGAGAATGCTCCCAGGGGTGCAGAGGGGGCACAACATCCTGCCAGAGAGTCGGGGAAAGCAGAGGGAGGACAGTCCTGCCAGGTGGAACCAGTCTCCAGAGCTGCACCAAGACCTCAACACGCAGATCAGTCCAGGGGATGGGCTGCAGGGTCTAAGAAAAAGCTCCACGTCTGCTCAGGACAACCACACCTTGGTTAGGAACAACGGCAGCCACCTGAGCCTCCCTCAGTCGCAGAATGACGGGACTAGCACCTCAGTCAGGAAATATGGGCCACTAGTGAGACCCACTCCTGCTCCTGCTCCTGCACTGCTCACTGAGGAGACAAACTATAAGGTGCCTGTTGTGGTGGGCATGGAGGACAGGGGGGGGGGTGTGTGGGACTACGCCAGCGGTACCACCTACCGCCTGAGAGACCCCCATTCATCCAGCTGGCTGAGCTCAGACTCTCAGGGACAAACAGAAAAGCAGCATGCGTTCACCTCCAACTTCAGCTATATCAAACAACAGAGCAGGAACTCCCAGAGCCAGAGAGACCTGACAGCGCTGAGGGAACCACCTGTGGATGGTTTCAACGGGCCCCTCAATGGAGTACTTTTCCCCACTGAGGTTCCTCAGAGAGGCCTGGGCTGCAGCACAACTCCACGAGGCCCCAGGAAACCTAGACCAAGCTTGGAGTGTATCGCGAACCTAGGCCAGAACCAGACATGGGTCCAATACAGGCATCCCATTAAAGGGGAGTCCCAGAAGAAGGAAGCAGGCTGCAGCAGGAAGGTGGTTCGAAACCAGATTAAACGGGTGGTGGACAACCTGGAGCAGGTTCTTACAGCGCTGAGGGATGTTCAACAGGAAATGAAAGAGGTAACATGTTGGATTTTTGTTGATTCTGCTTAACTCACAGAAAATAATGAGAAAAACACAAGAAGACTGCAACTGTTTGGTGTTTATTCAACCATTTCACCCACACAATCATCACACATCTTTCCTGGATTGACACAAAAAACAGAAACGATTCAGTTCAGAATAAGAACAGAGACGTCACTGCATTCATCTGTCGCTCTCACATTCATTTAGACATTTCCTCATGCCGGAAATGTTCATGCTTATGCTAAAAAACCTCGAGGGCTTGTTCTCTCACAGATCACAATGCAGGCAATAAATGCACATCCTCAGCAGAATTTAACATGCATTAAAAAGTCAGCAGCAGGACTGCATGAATACACCAACTGTTTCTGCAACTCTCCTCTGTCATCTGTCTCCAAACATATACTCAATCCATGCGTACATATTAATAGATGTGAATGAGACAATAGTTGTGCCCCATTAGCATGATGCATTCATATTTTTCTGAGATGATGCTGGGTGACATTAGGCAAAGCAGTCGCCTTCCTCTCTGCATCTCCCTTTCTGTCTTTCCTCCTCTAACATCCTCTCTCATCTCTTCCTCCACTCTCCCTCCTTATGGACAGATGCTGCTCCAGGCACAGCTGGATAGCGTCCGATGCTTTTTATAATCCATTTACGTCTGAGTATCTTTGCCTCGTAGTCCTCATCCAGTAAAAGTGACACGTAAATCTCGCCTCTTGGCATTTGATCTGCATCTACTGGGTCGCTGCTAAACCTGAGGTGGTAACCTCATCATCCAGGCTGCAAGGTTTTCTGTGACAGTATTAATATAACACTGATGAAAAAGCATATAGGATACACAAAAAGAGGGAGAGGGGAAGCAAGCACACACTGTGATAGAAAATCCTAAATTTTCACAACAGAGACGACAGATCAAAAGAAGATAAGGCACCAGAGAAGACTTTGGTCGCATATTTATTTCAAAGCACTGTTTAATCATTCTGTTGCATGAGCAGCAACCCTCAGTTTTATTTAATAATCAATCACTGCTATAAAAAAGAATTGGAGTGAGCCTTTAAAGCATTTTAGACAGAGACTATACAAATATTAAAGCAACACTAAAGACCTCTTTCTCATACTGCAGAAGAAAAAACAAACAAAAGCAAGCGCACACATGAATATAATAGTGATCTTCCGCTAAGACATTGACAGATCAAAAACTGCACTATGACTCAGAACTTCAAGCTAAACAACAATCAAGTTAAATTGAAAGAGTTAAATGTAACTTGAGAGACTGAAACTGAGACTGAGCTCTGCAACAAACGTCTGTCAGCACCCATCAGCACTGCTATGGAAAGACCAGAGGGGTCAAAAAACATTGTTTTTAATAAACACTCTTGAGAGCAGCAGATGAAAACCAGGGTCCTCTGCTCTTTTATCTCCTCTGATTTCTGACATTAACAAGCAGCACCTGCCCAGAGTCGCTTGATGTGCATATACATGCAGCACTTCAAAGTAATATGAAATGCCTCGCCCAAAAAGCTACAGCATTAAAAAAGAAAAAGAAAAATACAAACCAGGTCATCTTTTGACATCAGCAAGGATGTTGTTGAACACAGAGAACAAAACAATAATTCATCTGTTCCAGCAAGGGCTGAGGATTTATCTGTGCACATAGAGCAGGTGGAGAGATAGGTCAAACATTTTCCCCAGTGTAATTTTCTCCAATCTCTTCTACCTCCATTATTGCACGTGTGTGTGTTGTGTACACACTCATGTGTTACATGCTCTGCAATATAAAAATATATGCATCTAGACTTTCATTCCTGAATATGAGATATAGTATAGTGTTATCTACAAAGAAATATAAGAAGGGAACCCCACCTAAATTTGCCTTACACATTTCCTATAATAGTGATCTTGTGCTTTCTGGGCTACATGTTTTGCGCTAAGTAGTATCATGTGTGACACACTTACAGATTTAGGCTATAAATCTGGTGAGAGTCCACATCTGAAACGCTGCAAATTATAAACGCAGACATGCAAATGCAGGAAAGGTCAAGGTCAAATCCCTGGCAATTTTAACTATATATCAAATACTGTATGTTATAATGTTTTATTGCTGTACTTTAACTGTGTAGTTACTGTTTGTTGTTGTATTTTTCTAACCTGTGAAGCACCTTGGTCAACCTTGGTTGTTTCAAGTGTGCTACATAAATAAAATTGATATTGATATTGAAATAACTTTGCTATGTAAAGGCTGCAGTGCTAAGACTGGTTCTGTATATTATCAATCATTTTGTTAGAGATTACTCAAACTGTAAGAAACATCTTTGGATTAATCTTAATATGTGTTTAAGTGTCCTGGTGGAATAGGGGTGTAGACAGGCGATCATATAAAAACTGTGTCATCTGTTTAAATCTGGCTGGGGATTTTAGTGGCATGTTGCATCTTTCCTCTCTTTCTCCTCATTTCCTGTCACGCCTGTGCTGTCTGCTCTACCAAAAATGCCCTAAAAATACTTGAAGTGATGGGTGCGCGTTGCCCTTGTTTAACTTCCTCAAATTTCTTCTTTAAATAATTTGCTGATATCTATTTTTAGAGTCACTTCAGACAATGAGCAAATAAATGAGTTATTAATAAAACAAAAATGCGAAACATTCTCCGGTTCGAGCTTCTCAGTTGTGCGGAGTTGCCACTTTTTCTCTGTTTTTTATCGTTGTAAATTAAACATTCTTTGGTTTTAGACTGTAGGTGTGACAAAGCCAGCAATTTGCAGAGGCTCTGGGAAATTGTGACCAACAATTTTCACTATTTTCACATTATTGACTAAATGAAAATATTCAGTAGTTTCAGGTTTTCATAAGACACTCCAGTGATTTAGTATTGCACTTTTTATAGCATTGGGGGACTCGCAAGACACTTGAATGCTGAAAAATCAAAGCAGCACAGGCTGAGATATCCAGACTTTTAGTCCCTAGTGTGGGTTGACCTCCAAAAAACTGGATCCTATACATTTCCCATAATGCTACTCAATAAACTCTTTCATTAGGACTCACCTGCCTGATAAACACCCACATCTTTCAAACTTCACTCGTCCTCTTAAAAACTTTAAGCTTCGAACATTAAGCTGAGATTACCCTGATGACATCATTATGACATCACCAGGGTTACTGTCTCGAACTAGAAACCTCCAGTTCAGGGCCAAAGAAGACATTATGCAACTGTTTTCACAGGCTGAAAGTGCTTCTCATGATAGTAAACTGATCTTCATGTGTAAAATTGGTGGCGTGCACCTTCTTCTTCGTCTTTATCTTCATCAGTATAATGCGCGTATTTATCCATCATTGTGTGTGTTTTCTAGGTGGTGCAGCAGATTGACTATCTAACCTCATCCATTGATCTGAATGAGGTGGAGCAGCAGAGGACAGAAGGACGCGACAGCGCCAAGCCCCCCAGCAACAGCAGCTTCAGTTCAGGCTCAGGCTCCAGCTCCAGCGAGGTGACAGTAGGCAACACCCATCAGAGGCCCAAGTCTGAAGACCAGCCAGGAACCACAGGCTCATCTGGCAGCCTCAGGAGAGACCATCATTACAGGAGCCAATCTCCACCAAATGTGCTGCTGTGCCATGTAAGCTCTGGGTTTTCATCAGAGAGGAGTCAAACTCTTCGGTTCACAAGCAGTCTGGGGTCTTCTCCCAGACAAGGTGGGCCACTGCAGTATAGCAATAATCCTCCTTCATCCAATCCCCTTCAAATTCTAAACCTCACCTCCCATGACCTTACTTTGTCTCCCCAAAGAAGCATCCCTGTACGGCCTCCCACTCCTGGTCTCTCCCCTCTAACAGTAAACTTTCACCACCCCAGCAGCCCTAATTCTCAGCCTCACTCCCCTGGACCTTCCTCCTCCATCACGTTCAGTCCTGTCTCCCCTCCCTCCCCTCTGTCTCCAAAGCCTCACCAACCCCCCACCCTTAGCCCTTCTGTCATCATAGAGAACAAAATCGGTTCTTATAAGACCCCACATAGTGACCACCCATCTGCTGGTGCGCTCTCTCCATCATCAACCCAGCCTCCGTCTGCCAGCTGCCCACCCACCAACTCTGAAACTCAAACTGTGTCCAACAACAACAGAGAGAGGCGAGTATCCTCAGCAGGGCCCGTTCACATACCTTCACAGATGTGCACTGCCCTTGCAGCCACAGCTAAACCACCAGCAGCACAAGGCCGGCGAGGTCGCAAGCCACCACCTTACCCTCACCACAGACCCTATGAACACACAAAGAAAGTGAAGGAGCCCCGCAAAGCTCCCCCGTACCCTGAGAAAAGAAGGCTGCTCTCGACCACGGTGTGAGACAATGCAGCAGGACGGGCGAGGCTAATCGAACAGAGCCATATTCACAGCACCAGCCACGAGTCCGCCAGAGTGGACAGTGATTTAAGGCTCGCCAAGTTGAGCTGAGACCAAGTTTCCAAGGTGACAAGGCGCAGAAGCAACTTGGGGTGAGTATGTCAGGAAGAACAGCTTGGCTCTGCGGACACCCTTTTCCCTCTCTCTTTCTATACAAATCTCTTGAGTACATTAGCTGAACATACACAGGGCATCCTAACATCTGTCTGGGTTACTGCCCTGGTAACAAGAGTCTCTATGCAGATGTTTGCTTTGCACTCCAGCTCTCAGACTCCCACAGACTGCAGAGTTGAAGGGTAAAGGAGAAGGCCTAATTAGATAGAAATATGAAGGAAATTAAATTATCGTAAGACAAGGCTAGTAAGAACTGATTACTTTAGTGCACTTCAACCTATGCAGCCAGACACATCCACTCACATGTATCAGCACTGTCTGGGTTAGATAATTGCTGTCAAGAGTCGTGATGGTATAACGAGAGCGCAGTGCAGTTCAGGCTACTTTGGCTCAGCGGTGTGAAAAGCTCATGCGGGGGAGGAGAGGCCAGAGATCTGTGAGGGAGCTGGAGACAGAAAAGGTCTCGTAATATACTTAGCAAGGCCAGGTAAGAAGTGAACAGGACGAGTGGCTCTGAGCTGACTGGGTCACCGGCCCAGTCCCTGGGTGTGTGTCAGGGGAGACAGGGGGCAGCTGGCCATTCGCTGTACCCTTCACCGGGCCCCTGGTGTTACAAAAATCCCATCTCCTTTAATGCCTCTGGCTTGACCGACCCGGCCACAATCTCCATCTGTTCCCCTTCAAATGTCAGGAGATGCAAAGAGACATAAATAGGGGGCAGGTGTGTGTGAAAGGAAATAGAGAAAAACAGACACTGTAATGCCAGCCGGATTGATTACATAAATACAGCACAGCAAATTGAAGCCTCTTTCGTTTAAGTCATCTGATGCTGTCTCTGAAATGTTACTTTAGTTTATTTCCCTGCCGTCTTGTGGCTGTTTTATAAAGAATAAAGCTGACATTATTCTGTAGTTTCTCTTATTGTCAACAAATCAAATCAAAAGACCAAAACCAACAGTGTATCCTTCGATCAATACTTTGTGACCCTGTCCTTGGCACTCAACACCAAGCCCATTTGTTCCTACTGAAGAAGTAAATCTCAACAAAATGGCACAAATTTGTAGGTACATCAAGGCTCAGTCATTTCCTAAAACAGCTGGGCGCTGTAGTTTTTAGCAAAACAGGAGTAGATATTGTTGGAGACTTTTCCCGGATTTAATACACATAAATGCTAATATCAGCATGCTAATTATGTGTAATGCCATCTTAGTTTAGAGTGTTAGCATGCTAACAATCACTACTTGGCAATAAACACAAAGATGAGGCTGATGGCAATGTCACAGGTAGGCTTTGGTCTAAAAATGTTGGACAAGTGGTTCCCAACCTGGGAGTCAGGACTCCCCCAAGGGATGGCAAAATAAATTTGAGGGGTTGTGAGATGATGAACATAAAAGGAAAGCAGGAAACAACATTTTAATGTCATACAAAGCTATGCTTATTTTTTCATACTTTCAGATTCTCCTGTCTTAGGTTTCTTATCGTACATTACTTCATCAGGACTCCAACCAGGAACAATTAATTGAACTGGTCCTAGTGGACGTGACATTGCTTTGATTTGCAGGCTCACAAGCCAAAAATCCACTTTACAACAGGAAAACTCAAGGAATCACCAAAGTCATTACAATCCATCCTGAATGTCTGTCCCAAAGTTTCATGGCAATTCATCCCAAGTTGTGCCCTTTTACATTTTACTTGCCAAAAATGTGGTTGGTCTGCTGGTGGCAGGGGACCACCAAAGTCAGAAGGACTAATCCTCTGGGACTATGAATGTTTGTATGAAAATTCATGCCAATCCATTGAATGGTTGTTGAGATACTTTCAGTTTGGCCTAAAGTGTTGACCGACAAAGTTTCAGATCAAGGCTCTTTAATGCATGCCATCGTAATCTAAGCCAGTGCTTGGCAGCATCAAGTGTATACATTTTCCTGATGGTCGTACAGGGGAAGAGTAGAAAGTAAACATCTCTATTGGTAACAGATGGTTAACAGTGGTGATATATGTGTGGGGTTTGAATGACAACATAGAAGCAGCTCAGACACAGAGTGAACTGGCAGTAAACAAAGAACTATTGTGCTACAGAGACTTATTACTCAATGGAACAACCATCTTGAGAACACAGTGTCAAATTTATTCTCCATGAGGCCACAAAACTGGAAATCAGAGTCTGAAACAGTCCCATCTTTGGTATAAGATGCTTTAATCACAAGCAGGAGACTGTGTGGGAGTTTCTTGGCGTAGCAAGTTGTGATCTTGTTGAAACTCAGCTCTGCCAAAGTGCTACTACACAGCAGATTTTCTCTACATGTAATTCAGGTGTTTGTTAATTACAGTCATGGTTAGATTTTACATTAAAGCACTGGTAAATTGTGGGCTTGCAGTATAAATGTGAAGTCATTGTATCATAGAATTCAGGCTCACTGATGTTAATTTGAGGACAATCACGATGACTGATTTTCTTTGGCTTAACATAAAATGAATAAATCTCTCCTGACTCTATATCTCCATAAGCCTACAAAGATCAATGCTCTATACAATCCCATATGTGCCTCTGGATTTAGTAGATCCTCCCCTGCAAAGCCTTTCTCCCCCAGAAATTAAGAAGAAACAACAGAAGCTCTTTATCTCATGGAAACATTTATCCGAGAACAATATATGTTAATTGAGTATACTTACAGAATACATTTTGAAGCAAATTTTTCATGTGCTCGTTTTAATATAAAGTTTCACATAAAGTCTCATTTGTATGCTGTAAAAAACATAACTGGGGCCTAAAAGAACACATTCTGCCATGTTCACTGTGGCCCGGCTCTGACAGTGCTCCGAATATTTAATGGCTCTGCACTGGCACTCAAATTTCTCCTCTCTTTTCATGTTTATCCTTTGACAAGGCTGTGGGAGGTTCAATCAGATCATGACTGACATAATAAGACAAAAACATAGAGTTATCTCCAGAACAGTGACAATATGTCTTTATTGAAACATCCATCACATTTCGTCATGATTCAGAACAATAGAGAAAAAGAAAACATGTACAAAATAAGTAACGTCTTGTGTGCTTTTTTCTATTCCAGGTCAGCATCTGGACGTCGTTATTTCCTGTTGTGACCCCAGAGGACAGGACACACAAACGTCCCTGCTGAGCATTTCCTCCACTTCAGAGGATTGCCTCTAGTCAGATGAGAGTATCCAAACCCAGACCATGACAAGGTGCGAATCTCAGTGAGTAATCCAACCTCAGAATCAAATCAACAAAATCCTCAAATCTGAAATCAATCCCCAGAACTCATCTTCTGAACACTTGTGTGGATCTAAGAGGAGCTGGATCAAAATAAGAAAGATAAAGGCAATCCCACTCGCTACATAGGGGATCAGCAAGAGGGGTGGGGGGACCTGTAATCATAGTGATGTACTTCAGAAACCTGCATAATATTCTTGCTGATCCACACATGTGGCACTGAAGGATGAAAGAGAAAAAGGTTCAAGAAGAGCACAGGAAGATGTGATGGCATCTCTTCGCCAAATATACTATCATCCAAATGTCTGCCTTATAATTTAGTATTTTTTGGGTGAAACATCAATTGAAATTTACTGAAATTACAAAATTTTACAAATAAGGAAATATTTGTAGCTTCCTCTGTACCTCCTGTTGCAGGTGTTTAATTAAAATCATCAAGATTAAAGTTATTTTAAATAAAATCACAATAATTTCTCCTAAATACACAGCCATTTTCACATAGACACCATTTCATCCCAAAATGCAAAAACACTTAAATGTTTACTGAATATCTTTCTATTAATATTGTGCTATGAAGCTGCAATCATCTCTATTACAAGTATTCCTTCTGGCCCAAAACACAAATATAACAAAAAGTTATCAGAAGTGATACTTGTTGGTCATGTAGGGGATAAAATGGGTGCTTACAGTTAAGTAGAACAGAGCGAGATTTGAGGAAAATGTAATTGTGTGTGAGCGATGACGCTATTGAGGGATTATTCACTTTTCTCTCAGGATTACACAAGATGGATAAATCCCTCCGTACTCTAAATATGTTATCTATACCCAGCTCCCAGACACCAATCCTTTATACATTCACATACATCCCCAGTGGATCAGAACAGATTTGCTCTTTGTAAATCTGAAACTAAGAAACAACTATGAAAGCACTTTTTTGTGGCAGAACTATGAAATTATGTAGTAAAAAACAAATACTCAACTGATTTCTTGCTGCATTTTTTGTCCCAAGTAGCATATACATAGATAAATTGATTGTAAAACCATACCAGGTAATTAATGTACTGACACACAAAGTGCCACAAAGGGAATATCAGTATGATACTCCAAAAATCCATCCTTGACTACTGAGTTTAAACACAGAGGCTCGACTCAGAGCTCACAAAGGCTCTCTGATTGGTCAAAACATGACCAAAGCCAAGTCAGACTCCGAACCAATTACAACTCATCATGTCGTGTCCGTCCAATGGCGGTGAGTTTGGAGAGCTGTGCGCTGAACTTTCCATCTGTGTGGGTCACTGGAGGTCAGAGAGGAGAGAATATTACTGTCACAGACAATATTAAAACAAAAATCAGGTTTTTCATTGCAAAGCTGCTGAAACCAGCCAGTTTCACATAAATGCAGAGTCAGCAGCTTGAGAACTGCAGGTCCAGTCCAACCTGCGTTGGCTATTGTCAAGGAAAGTAACAGCAGCAGGAGGTCAGACCTGCAGATGTGTGTCATTTACAGGTAAGGAAAGTAACAGCTGCTGCAATTTTGACACTAGTGCCACCTTAAAGCAACAAGTGTTTCATATCTTCTTTGCACTGGAGCTGCTGCTTATAGGTCTTATTATTGACATATTAAATACATGCATTAATACATGACATATTAAAACAGTTTTGTTCACTGGAGCATTTTCTGATGAATAAGGAAGCCCTTAGTGTTCATTCGGCTCATAGTGTCCTCCAGATTACTTTGGAGGAAA